AGTATTTGCATTTAAATTTAAACTTCGAAACATCGAATATTAAATTTCAAAATTNTCGAAACTCAGAAAGCTCGTCCTCTCCTTAAAGATTCATATTGTGGAAAATTGAAATTGTTTATTAATTTTTAAAAAGAACTGTATTCGAAATTCGAAACTATTTTCGAAAAATTTTGATAGTCGAAACGTGGTGAATGATATAAACATTGAAGAGAAAGTTTCACCCTTGAAAGAAACGAGGGAAGACTTTGAAACTTGAAATATTACTGAGAATTTATTTCTCTCGTGGAACAATATAAACGAGAAACTTAAACCCCTAAGTAACAAAAAAAAAAAAAAAAGAAAAAAGAAAATGGATTTGCATTAGAATTTAAATTCAAAACAAACATTAAATTTTAAAATTTCGAAACCCAAAATTCTCTCCTTCTCCTTAAAAACAAAGAATCTGTCTCGTCACGAATCTCGACTTCAAGACTTCTTCGAAATTGATCGATACACATAGAAAAATTAGTAAACGCGAGAGAATGAAACTATACGAAATCCATATACGATCCCATACCAACATAATAACAGTCATAATAATCCTTTCAAAACGATCAATCCAATTCCTCGAAATATCCATTCTTACTTTTACGAGTGATTATCTTCCCGTGGAAAAAGAAAAAAAAAGAAAACATTCTCCGTCGAGGCTCGCTTTATAATCCGATCGATTAATTATCGTAAAAAAAAAAAAAAAAAAAAAAAAAATAATGGGGATATTTTTATTTCACTTGAAAACTTCAAACGGAAATTTGAAACACTGTACACAACACAAATTACCGACACACGTGTGTGGGCAGATGCGGGAGACGGCCGAGACGGTGATAAACACGAAATACTTTCGCGGGAATACGGCTCGTTTATTACGGGATATAAATACACAATTTATAACGCCATAATTAAACGCGGCCGGGGCCGAAGCCGATAAATCGGCCGATTTAAAGTTATTCGAGGCATAAAGGGTAATTATTGTAAATTGTTAGAGCGGGGACGTATTCCATCCGTTAAATGTCGCTGGATCACCGTTATTTACGATATTTATTGTCAAATAACAAGCCGATTTTGTTACACGTTAACCGGCCACTGATTTAAACCACGGTTTCAACCATTTTCGATTGACGCGTACGCAACAGTTTCGCAGGGAGAGGGGAGGGAAGGAGGAGAGGGGAACGTTTATTTTTCACGGTTTTATCGGTCGGTATTTCCGATGTTTATGGACGAAAACGAGAAGATGGAGCTCGAAGCTTGTTGGTTATGTATCTTGGGCAGAAGTTCGATTAAAATATCCTCGGAGTTAGTTGTTGTGTCTATTACAGAAGGATAATATTTAATTATTTATTATTCCATTTTATATATATATATTTTTTTTCCTCTTAATGTAGTCATTTTCGAAATTTCAAAAACACGTGTATAACTTGGTTCGATTTATTCGTTATACTCGAAGCATCGATTGAAATTAAAAAATTAACATTAACGGTGTGTATAAATTCTCAATATTCCCAATTTTTACATTCCTATATCACGCTTAATTTTATCCCCTCTTTATCTTCATTTTTCAAAAATGAATTTTTCCGATCAAGAATCATCATCGAAGAGCAGCGATGGGGGGAAAATTTAATAAAGCGAAAGTCACTTCGTTCTAATTTATCGTTCGAGAACGATAATAATAATTGAAAATAGCCCGAGATTGTTACGAGAAGCGGATCGATCGAAGCATTTTAACGAGTGATTTACTTAAAAGTAACTTTATTCGAAATTTTTTTTAACTTTTTTTTCCAACTCTGTCTGTGAAAAGCAAAAATCGTTCGAGAGAAGCAGCGCCCCCTATTAACGATGAAAAACAAAGAGCGACGGAGGATAAAGGATGGAATAGGGAATAAAGAAGAGAGAAGGGATATAACGAGTCTTATTATTTACGCGGATCATTATTGTGACGGCGCTGATCGGTCATCGTCCATCACTTTCCTTAATCCTTTCCAACCTCCTTCCGGCCTTTTATTATCCTTAAAGTTTCGATAAGTGGCGTGGCCGATAATCATAAATCAGAGCCCTTCTTTCTCTCTCGGCCTCTCTTGGACAAAGAAAAAAC